AAATTAACATCTACAGGTGTTCTAGCAAGATGATCATCATCTTTGCTGAATTTGTCAAGTATTTTCTCAATGTAATGAGATTGTGACAAAGCATATCCTTCTGATGTTTTGGTAATTTTCATACCAAGAATTACATCAGCAATGCCTATGTCCTTCATGTCAAAATGTTTATTCGATATTTTCTTGGTAGTTTTAATCATATCATTATTACTACCTATGATGAGCATATCATCTACATAAAGACATACAATGACATAACCTTTGTCCGTGTTTTTAATATAAACACATTTGTCACACTCATTAATTTTAAATCCATTTGACATCATTGCCTTGTCAAATTTCTCATGCCATTGCTTTGGTGCTTGTTTTAAACCATATAATGATTTAACCAATTTGCACACTTTCTTTTCTTTTCCTGGAACTGAAAAACCTTTTGGTTGTTCCATGTAAATTTCTTCATCTAATTCACCATTTAAGAAAGTGGTTTTCACATCCATTTGATAAATTTCTAGATTGTATAGAGATGCAATGGCAATTAGCATTCTAATGGATGTTATTCTAGTAACCGGTGAGTATGTGTCAAAGTAATCAAGACCTTTTTGTCTAAAACCTTTGACCACAAGTCTTGCCTTGTATTTGTCTATTGATCCATCCGCTTTCAATTTCCTTTTGAAAATCCACTTGTACCCAAGAGGTTTACAACCTGGTGGCAAATCCACCAACTCCCAGGTGTGATTTTGCAAGATGGATTCAACTTTACTATTGATAGCTTCCTTCCATAAAAGAGCTTCAGGACTAGACATATCCTCTTTAAAGGTTAAAGGCTCATTTTCTAACAAATATGTTAGAAAATCTAGACTAAAAGATTTTGAGGTTCTAGCACGTTTACTACGCCTAAGTTCCTCTTCCCCATTTTGACCTAACTCTTGTTCTTGTTCTTGTTCTTGATCATGTTCTTGATCCTGACTAGTAACAGCATCATAAGATCTTTTATTGTTACTAGTCTCTTGTCCAGTTTTATTTGGAAATACATGTTCAAAGAAAGATGCATTCCGAGATTAAATAATAGTATTTACATGCATTTCGGAATGTTCTGATTTATAAATCAAAAACCGATATGCACTACTATTCTTGGCATAACCAATGAAAATGCAATCAATGGTTTTAGGACCTATTTTAGTCTGTTTAGGACTAGGAATAGCCACTTTGGCCAAACAACCCCTCGCTTTTAAGTATTTGTAGGATGGTATTCTTCCATGCCACAATTCATAAGGTGTTTGATTCACTTTCTTTCGGGGTACTTTATTAAGTATATAATTAGCAAAAAGTATTGCTTTCCCCTCACAAGTTCTGAGGTAATCCACAACTTATTAACATGGCATTTATCATTTCTTTTAAAGTCTTATTTTTCCTTTCAGCAATTCCATTTTGCTGAGGTGAGTAAGGAGCGATGGTTTGATGAATTATTCTATGTTCTTTACAAAACTCACTAAAAGGTGATTCATATTCACCACCTCTATCACTTGTTAGTTTTTTGATTTTCTTACCAAGTTGATTTTCAACTTCATTCTTATATTGAATGAAAGTTGCCAAAGCTTCATCCTTGATTCGAATTAAATAAACATAACTATATCTAGTATAGTCATCTATAAAAGTGATAAAATAATTTTTCCCATCTCTAGTTTGAATTGATTTAAAATCACAAATATCACTATGAATTAATTCAAGTGGTTGCGTACTTCTTTCAATTGAATGAAAAGGAGTTTTAGATAATTTTGCATCAACGCAAATTTCACATTTATGATCTGAATCAATGTTAAATTTAGGTAAACATTCCATATTAATTAATCTACGCAAAGATCCATAATTAACATGTCCTAGTCTACCATGCCATAAA